GAAGCAGATGGTCCTCTTGTCCTGATCCTGGTTCTGCTAAAGGTTTCTTCCTCATGAGGGAGTTTTTCTTTCCACTGTCGCCTTCATGCTTGTTCAAGATGAGAGTTCAGTGATGGAGTTAAACTCAAAGCTGCTCCTCAGATAAATAATGTAAATTATTATTTTATTTTATATAATAATCCAACATTTTTCAGTCAGGTCATCTGGACAGTTTCTTATTTTTTGTGCTGAAGTGTTTCACCTTCCATCCAGAAGGCTTCATCAGTCATGGAAACGCACAACAAAACCGATTCTTCCCCCAAACAGCTTACTCCAAAGTGGAACAAACCAGTTCTGCTTGTGATAAGATGGTCTCTTTGGTTCGCCCTCTCCTCCATTGCCGGCCCTCTTCCTTGTTGACAGTCTTGTCAAACTGGTTGAAAACAACAAAGTCCATGCTCAATAATCCAGGTATACAATCCAACATTTTTCAGTCGGGTCATCTGGACAGGATGGATTATTGAGCATGGACTTTGTTGATGATAGATGAATGTTTCTGTTCAGTCCCTGAGATGATTCTGTGACTTGGAGCTGAAGAACTGAACTGAAGTGAATTTAGAGACAACTGAGAAAAACTTAACACAAGTAAAATGCCCCCAAAAGAAAATCCTAATGTGCAGATTACAAACTGCAGGTAACAAAATATTCAGCCCAAAATGTTAATCGAGCAGCAGAAAGAAAGTTTGTAAAGGGGTGGGGTCCGTGCAGTTTGCCCGGGGGATTCAACCCGGCAGAAGGGACGTCCGCTCAGCGGCAGAGGATCCCCCTCGCGGGGAAGCTTCCCCCCACGTCTGGCTGGCTCTGCCGGATGCATTACCTTTGCCACTGGCTCTGGGTCATCCTGGAAGGGTCCTGGAAGGTGGCTCTACAGCGTCCCCCCGCCCACACCTCGCCACTTCGCGCCTCGCTGCCCTCTTCCTCCCCCCTCCGGCGGCGGAGGGACGGGCGCAGCCCCGGGACGGACTGTTCTCAGGGCGACCCGACCACGCTGCGCCGCCCAGGTGAAATGAGACTGTTTTGACCTTTAAAGTTTATTAAGGAAAAGTTTGACGGGGAACTTTGCTACAAAGTCGAGCAAACAAACGATTGTTTTGTTGAGCGTCAGGAGAGACTGTTTTAGGTGTTTGCCTTGTTAAATTTCACAGAGCTGCACCAGTGAGTCGTCCTGCGCGCTCCCGCAGCTGCCGGTCGAGGTCCTGGTCCTCTCAGCACGTTAACACTCACGTTAAAATCAAACCGTTTAACCAGAAACGATTTATTTCAGATGATTTCCTTCTTCTGAGCCGACTAACACGTTGAGAACAAGTTTTTTCTGAGGTGCCAGAGCACGTCAAGGTTCAGCCGCTGTAAACCAACGAGACGTTGAAATGAAGGAGCCCTGAGAGGAGTTCTTGTTCGGTCTTGTAACTGCAGACTCTCTTCCTCTGTTTCTGCTCAGGAATGGACGCTGGAGATCAGAATGGAAATTCACCGTCTCCCCCTCCACCACTCAAGTGGCAGGAATCATGAAAATCCAGGTATGGAGCTTGTGTCGCTCTGAGAAGATGGATCCAGTGCTGAGCAACTCCTTTAACAGTTTGTTGGAGGAAGAACCCAGAACCGTTCTGGTACCAGTTAAAGATGAAACCAGAAGGAAACACGAGGACGCACAGGAAGAACTGAACCCACAACCTGTTTGTGCAACAGCACTGCAGCAGTGCAGTCCAACACAACCACCGTGTCATTCCGGCTGCAACCCGCGCTCGGACGGACCAGAACAAACCGGCTCCTTTTACCACTTTGTAACGCTGCCGTTCCTCTCAGAACATCTGTAAGACCAACAGCTGTTTAGTCCAAGGCTTCCTGCTGTGACGCACTCTGACCGCTCGGATAATTGTGAAGCATTCACACTATTGTTTTCCTGTTTATTATTCCTGCCTCTTACTTCACTTCTTCCGTGCGTCGTTCTCATCCCACAGTTTTCAGCTGTTGCGTCAGAAAACGTTCGGCTCTTTCAGACAATCCTGCTCTGACTTTTAGAGTTGGTGCAACTTTAGCTGTTTGAAATTTTTAGCCTTTTCTACCATTTTGTTCTCATAGAAAATGAACTGAGCTCATTTTGCATCCTTCACATCTTCAGATGTGTTTACAACCTTTTACTGCTCCTTTCACTGTTTGTGCTGCTTCAGCTACTTTCAGCTGTTTTGTGCTCCTTTCAGATTCTTTCTGCTAACTACAACATGTTTCAGCTCAGCTGTGCCCCCTGACTGCATGTGGTCTAAAAGTTCAGAGCGTTTCAGCGTTGGAGGCACGTCGTCTCTGAATCCCTCCCAGAGCGGAGAGACGGCAGCTTTCAGCAAGTTCTAAAACTAAAGTCAGCTCGTCGTGTCGCCTCCTTTTATTAAAAACATTATTTTTAATACGATCCAAAGTAATCCGTAGTTTCTGCCCTAACCGCTCTGAGCCAATCACGTCCTTTAGAAATATTTATTGTTCACTGCTGCAGCTCATAGTGACGTCACTCATACAGTAGGTTGTTTAAAAGATAAAAACGTAATAAAGTCACGAAGAGGAACGAAATGTTGACGCATTTTTGCTTTGGATTTTGAGATTAAAGTCAAAACAGTGAAATTAAAGTTATTTAGATATTAAAATATGAATATTAAAAACCAGACAATTGTTGGTGCAAAGACCATAAGTTTGAGTAATTCATACATTAATACAAAATACATCTTAAAGTTATTGATGAAAGGAAATAAACAAACTGTATTTTGCATCCAGAGCTGTTAACAGCCTGTAAACAAGAAGTACAAACAAACATTCAAAACAATATTAATAAAAAAAAACTGCAGCGGTGACACAAACTGCGTGACCTTTGAACCTTAAAACTTCTTAAAATTCCTCCCGGATCAAAACTGCAGAACGAGTTTCACAAGAAAACAAGAGAACGGAGTGTGCTTCATTTGGTGCTCTTATTGTGAAGGACAGAAGAAAGTTCTGTCACTTGTGTTTTTGTGGGAGGAATAAAAGCAGCATCTTGGAGTTTACCTGGTTTAAACTCACTCTAATAATATTAATATGATTATTAATAATATGGAACAAACAGAGTTGGGTTCAGAGCAGGTGGCTTTGTCTCCTCAGGTTTAGTCTTATTTTGACAGAGTCCCTGTCGTCCCTGTAGGTTCATTACTACGAGGACGGAAACGTTCAGCTGGTGAGCCACAAGGAGGTTCAGGAGTCCATGTCCATTTCTGTGAGTAGAACCCAGCAGCTCCTGCATCGAACGCTTGGATTCATCGGGGTCTTGGAGCACGTTAAAGTTCCTGTTTTCAACAAACGTCACACAAGACGTCTTTGTGTTCAAGGCTGAAGATGACGACTCTGAACCTTCATCTTCTCTTTTTCTTAGAACGAGGCTTCGACCGCGAAGGAGTTTGTTAAGATCATGGAGGCTGCAGAGAACGACTATCAGGTACGTCAGGAGGCGCAGCAGAGGGAGACGCCACCTCTTAACCTCAGTCTGGACGTGGAGCTGTTACTGCGGCCTTGTTTGAATGTGACGTGGTCATGACCCCCCCAACATCATGACCCCCCAGGACTGGACAGTAAGCTCCTTGTGACCTCCTGGATGTTGGTGGCTTCAATGAGGAGACAGTCCTCATGCTTCTGCGCTCATAGTCCTCCCCAAGTAGAAGTTCTCCTGCACCCTCACATGCCCTGTACCTCAGCTGCATTACTAGTTGGAGACCAGTTATAGACCAGTTAGAGACCAGTTGGAGACTAGTTGGTGACCAGTTATAGACCAGTTAGAGACCAGTTGGAGACCAGTTATAGACCAGTTAGAGACCAGTTAGAGACCAGTTAGAGACCAGTTGGAGA